GAACTTCGAGGCCTATGACTTCGAACTTCGCCGTTCGACTCTCTGCATGGACTGTACTATGCGCGGGGCACGTCCTCGAGCTTGGTCCAGCCGACTTCGTCGACGTTGGACCACACAGCATCTGTGTAAAAATCAACGAACAACACCCCGTTCTCGATGCTGAGCGGGTGGTAGAGGCCACCACTGGGTCGCTCCTCGAGCTTGACGCGGAAGACGAGGAGCTTGGCCGAGCACGTGTCTTGGAGATCTTCCTGCACCATCTCGTCGGCGCAGCCATTGGTGACGCACGTAACGAGCGACTGGAGGACGCCCGACGACGAGCCAAAAAAGATCTCGCCAAGGCGGTCCTCGTAGCGCTCGTCGATGGCCTTGTTGAAGGCGACGACGTCGCCGTGGACCTCGAAAGCAAAGTCGATGCCGGTGGCCGTGCGGATGGCGGCGAGGGACACCTCGAAGCTCTCGGCGTTGTCCCGAATGCCCATGCGGGTCTTGAGCGGCAGCGCCTTGTTGGTTTGCGAAAAATTGAACGCCATCCTCGGCTTGTTGTTGTTGAGATTGAAAGTTGGAAAATGAAGTTGGCACTCGCGCCAATGGTCCATTGGTCTATTCTTATGAAAAAGCAGTTGCGCAACCCCTCTCCGGATACTACAAGAGTGTTGCAACGACTTCTGGTTGTTCGACGTGGCATTACGAAAGTTTTTCGTTCTCAGCACTTCGACGTGCGAATCGCGCTTCGAACTGCTCCTCGAACTGCTCATCGAACAGGTTTTATCAAGTAGAGTACATATGTAGTTGCTGGCTGGCCATTGGTCCATCGCGTTGTGCCGGTGAAACCATGGGTCTATAAACAAATGTACAATGGCCCTACCTACTACTATCCGGATAGTACAGTGGACGTGAATCCACAAGGTGAATGGTTTCAGCCAATCATTCCAAGGCCTTTCTCCCCTACCCCTTCCACAAGCCTGCAAGCCAATCAGAGCTCGTGTTGCATTGCATAACCCATCTGCTTTGCAGCGCTGCCTTGCCAACATATTACATATGTTGACGAGTGGCCGCGACAGTTGGTCGTCGGCGGTAGAAAACGATCCCGCCAGTCGACGCCTTCGTCACCTCGAGCTGTGCCATCAGACCAAGCACGAGGACGATCTTGCCGCAACTAGCCACTAGCATACGAGCAAATGCGCCCGAGCCGGCCAACAAGAAGAACCACGAGGGGCTCAGTGACAACATCAGAACAACTTCGAGCCAACAAGAGCACTGAACCCAAGATCAGCCGCCGCCACCGCCAGCTTTCAGCCGCCGTCAGTATCCAGATCAGCCAGACCCGCAGCGCCTCGCCGCCAAAACGAAAATACCTGCATCCAGACAACCGCGCTAGGTCGCCAGAACGAAAACAAGTAGAAACCGACCGTGACGTCAAAACAAACCAACGTCAACCAGTGCTGACCATCATGAGCCTTCCGGATTCATTCCGCATCAGACGAGCCGACTTTAGCGTCCTCGACGTCGAGTGAGCACCCCGTGTACCTTGGGGTGCTACCCGGTATCGCTCCAGGCCGAGCCAAGGCCGCATCCTTGTGTGGCAAGACGACACGGGGCTGGTGTGCGTCCTCGCAAGCGCTCGATGTCGACCATCATGACAAGAATGGTTCATCCATGACCTTCCATGTATTTCGTAAACACTATGACGTGGCACGCTCTCGATGCTCGACACCACTCCATGTCTGCGGTACCCACTTTGTCCATTGTGTGGGGACACAAGACATGGACACCAAGTAGACATTCTTTAGTTATTATATAGTGCATCCTGCACAACAAATATGTAGGTCCTAATGAGCACTTTGCGTTGGAACTGGCCGGGACGTTGGAATACTACGTGGTCGACTGCTTCCCGCCGGTGACCTGAGCTGAACATCGAGTTGCTGGCAAAATGTAATACGTGTTGGTGGTCTTGGCAGAGACGGAGCCCGCGATTGTATCTAACGTCACCTTGGTGATCGGGACGTTGCGCGTGGGCTTGCCCGTTGAGATAGTCTTGGCAAGGTCGTAGTTCTGACCGACGTTGGTGCGCTGGGTGTTGGAGTACGTGATGCGCGAGACGGACCCGAGACCGTCTGGATGCGCATGCTGTTTTCGACCTTGAGCTTGGAGATGTCCTTGAACATGCTCGAGACGACGTGAAGGCGTGAATGAAGCGATCAAAAGATGCGCCCGCCTGTTGTCGCCGCTGGTCTCCACTTCACAAGCGTATCTCGAGGTTCAGGGCCACCCCGGGGCATCTAGCTAGTAGAATCCACTGCCTTTGCTTGCATGTACAACACCAGATTGGCCAGGCTTGGATCCGTGCCACAGGTTGCGAGGGCGGGTGGTGTTCATTGCAGGGTATCATACCTTCCGTTACCATTTCACATGGCGCTGCCATGCGCACTTGCCTCGTACGACCGTTCGTCGAGAGAGCACTACACGGGTGATGTAGTGCGGGTGATAATTAAATTCTAGCGGATTTTCACTGAATCGTCTAGCGGATTTTTCGACACTGAAATTCTAGCGGATTGTGAATGAAAGCTCTAGCGGATTCCACTAAT